ACTTGTTCTTGTTGTAGTACTTTGTCCGAAATTGGAAGTAGGCAATCCCTGTAGATCATTCATTCTTGTAATATTCTTGTCTGGAAGTAGAAATAAGAAATTCCCTTAAGATCATAACAATCATGGTCCTGGCATAGCTTTTTCCCCCAGTTGGAATTGAACTGGCAACCTTGCGAATGTGACTTGGGAGTGCTAACCACTGCACTATTGACCTGCAGGTCTACATCTTTGTTTCTTAAACAGCATAAGAATAAAACTTTTGAGACATTGCTTGGCAGTTCTGTTAACTTTATTGTATACTGACTTTACTTCTGTCTTACTTCATAGTTTTTTTCATTTTTTGTTATTCTTATTAGTTTATTATTATTAACTGGTATAGACCATGAAGTAAATCTTTCTCTTAATTCTTTTATCTGAATGATTACAAAAGATTTGTATTTAAATCTCTTAATTCTTACTATATATATTTTTGGAAATCTTCTGCAGATATATTCAAGCTCTTTTCTGTTTATGTCTGCTGATAAATTTCAGATTGTTATATACTTTAAGTTCTGTGTTTTCTTTTCATTAATATTTTTTTTTTTTTTTTTTTTTGAATTTCCACTGCTTGATCACTAGTGGTCCGCAGCTGGCTGCTGTTTTATTAGTTCAAATTTCAAGTTCACGGGACCTTCTATCAGGACCCCGGTTACATTTTTACATTTTAGTTTGTGTACATTTATGGTACTATCTATATTTAATTTGTGTTCCTATTACCCCAGAATTTCACTGGGATTGTCCTAATCGGGGATTCCTTTGTTCTATTTTTATCCTCAGCCCCCTAATCATCGTGGCCTTCTTATGTTAGGTCCGTCACCATTTAAGGATCTGGGTACCGAAGATCTTTCTAATTTTGTAAGATGTCATCTGATGTGGTTAATTAACAATCGTGGTCCTAACTCAGTTTTCGTCTCCCATTGGACTTGAACCGGCAACCTTACGATTGGTGACCTGGGAGCGTAACTACTTCGCTACCGACTCGCAGGTCTTTCATTAATATTCATTTGATCTTTATTTGATTTTTTTGAATTTTCTTTCTATTTGTATATTTTCTTTTTGGTTTTTAATATATTGGTTTTTTTTATATATTCTTTATTATATATAGTTTTCTTTTATTTTCCTTTATTGTTTACTTTTTTTTCTTCTATGATCATTTTATACCAATTATTCTTTTTTTTTACTAATTTTTTATATTGTCTTACTTTTATTATACTTACAGTCAAAGTCTATTTTTATCTATAAATTTTTTTTTTAAAAAACTTCTTTGATATCTTTAACATATTTATTGTCTTTTAGTAACTATCTAATGAAGTTTGTACATTTTTTCTTGATTTTTTCAAGTATATTATGTGCTGATATATTTGTGAATAAACTGTTGTTTTGATTACAATTTTTTTTACTAGATACTCATATTCTTTCTTTAAAAGATACTTTTAATATATTGATTTCTTTTTCTGTTTTTTGTTTTCTTTTCTTTTTTCTTTCCACTTTTTCTACTATTGATCTCTATCTTAATTTTTTTTTTATTTATTTCTATATCTTTATATTCTTGTTTTCTTGATTGTTTTTTTTTTTCTTTTTTTAAATAGATAATTCTATTTCTATTTAACTATTATATATTTGTTTTATTTTTATACTTATTTTTTTTTTTGTAATTTCAATACTTGCTTGTAATCTCTTATCAGGTTTTTGAATGTTTGCTGTTGTTCTTCTATTCTTTTTATTCTATATTATTATGAGTTTGTTTTATCAAATCAAGTTTTTTTTCTAGTTGTTTTCTTTTGCTTTTTCTATTATTTCTCTTATTATTTACAAAAGAATCACTTTGTTTAGATCTTGTTTTGTGAATAATGCAATAATATTATCCTTTCTATCAGGTATTACATATGTTTTGTTTGCTTCATTAAAAAAGATTTTATTATGCATATTGTTTATTACACAATATGCTCTTCTTATAAAGATTGCATTAAGACTTTCTTTATACTCTTCTGGCAAACTTTTATTTATATTATACAATTGTTTTCTATATATTTCTAAATTATGTATTCTATTTGAATTTGACTAATTTGATATATATATTTGTTTGTTTACTTTACTTGTTCTATTGTGTTTTGTGTAACTTAAAAGATCTACAAAACAGGATTATAACAATTCTTTACTTTTTTGCAAAATTTCTATTTTTTATCAAAAATACTTTTTCTTTGCTCTTTGCTATCTCTATATATATTTTTTTTGTGTTTTTGTTTTTTCAACTAAGTCCAACTTTTGCTATTCTCTTCTTAACAATTTTTGGTCAAAAGATTTACAAAAAAGAATATGTAATATTATGATCTCTTTTTTATTAACACCTCATTTATAAAAATATATATATATATTTTTTTTTATAATACTATATATAGTAAAAGCTTTAAAATATAAAGCAAAAGTTTTAAATACAAATAAAAAAATTTTTTAAAATAAAGATTTCTAAACTATATTTATGTTGTTTTTGAAACACCAAATGTAACATTACACCCTCTATGTTCTAATTAATGCTATAAATAATTATTTCAAATTATTTTCTAGCTAGAAATATGTTGAAAAAAACTTTTATAAAGCAATTTTAATATATAATAATTTATAGTTTCTTTAGTTTACACTTAAATTAAAATATCAATTGCTTCTTTATTACAATTTAAGGTTATTCGACATTATCATGTATAGTCTAATTTGTTTAGGGTTCAAGTCGTTTTGGATCACGAGGGAATAATGAACATCTACGTATGTTGTCTAGATTTAGGTAAAGCATTACCACTCGTTCTAAACCTAAATTGTATAGAATAATTATTACCAAATAAATTTAGCAAAAGCAATACAAAATTGTACAAATTTTTAGAAAAAAATAAACTTACCTATACCACCACCAGCATGGGGTGGCGCACCTCTTTTAAATGAATCAACATAAGGTTGAATTGTATGTAAATTTATGCCATGTGCTTTGGAACTCTCCTCTAATAATATAGGGTCATGAATACGTTGTGCACCCGAAAGAATTTCTTGCCCACGCATGAAAAAATCGTAAGAATTTGAATAGTTCTAAAAAAAGAAATTATTGCAATTTTTTAGAACAATTATTCAAAACCCGCTTCTTTTTTAGTCTAAAGGCCTAAAGGCTCTTTTTAGCATATCCTAAATCATATTGCAAATATTCCATATTATGTAAAGAATGACATTTTATAACTTAACACAATGGATACCTTATCATTAGGATCTGGCATTGTATAAAACGGGCGAACACCCAATGGGAATTTATCAAGCATATAAAAATCGGTGTTGTATTTCTCCTTGACCAATTTGCCAAGAAGCCTTTCTTTTTCAGTGCTAAATATCATTTATTTTGAACGTCTTAAATGAGTTCTTGAAAGGAAATAAAAAAAAGCAAAAACAAAAAAATGAACCTTAAATCTTCTAAATCATCCATTTCGATACCATGATCTCTTAGTAATTGAACACCCTCTTTAAAATCCAATCTTAATGTTTTTGGAAGGTATTCAAAGTTCGCCGTTGGATATTGTCGTTTTACCGTCTCAATCTCAGAAGCATACCTAGTCTTTAGACCATCAAAAATGAAAACAAATAGTTCATCAAGAATATCAAGTACTTCATGATAATGCTCCTCAAAGGCCATCTCCAAATCAAGACCGACAAACTCTGTCATATGGCGATGTGTGTTGGAGTCTTCGGCACGAAATACTATATTAAAAGCAATAAACTAGACTGGTCAGGGTTTGGTACAATTAATATGCGATAATGTTATACACTTACCAGGAGCTATTTCAAATACACGTTCAAAGTCGGAACAAATACACATTTGTTTATAAAATTGAGGTGATTGAGCCAAATATGCGTTGCCTAAGATTCGCATTGAATAACATATAGTAAAGTGTGTATATAAATAAATATTAGCAACCTAAAAATACACGGCTCACCTTTGAAATACTTTATTTCGAACACATTTGCACCACCTTCACTAGGTGCACCAAGTATCTTTGGAGTATGAATTTCAATAAATGACTTTGATAAAAGAAATTCACGAAACAATTGACAAACTCCAGATTGAATCCTGAAAATTCCGTGATTCGCAGTGGTCTATTCATAAAGTCAATAATGATAGAATATTAGTCGATATGAAGACACTCGTAACACTAGAATATAGTCCAATTTTTTTGAATTAAAATAGCCATAAAAATGTGAACTAGTAGCTATGATTTAAGTCAAGTTTAAACTGATTAGGATTATTATTACAGTCAGACCTTCATAAATGCACTCTACATGAATTCTCTTTAAATGCATGGTATAGTTTGATCCCACCTTATAAGAGCTTTGTACATTTGCTCATAGTAAATGAACAAATGAACACCGTTTTTTTTTTTGATTACAATCCTAAGGGCATTTAGGAATGTTTGACTGTATAATGATTATGGTTAAATAAAAATGATGACTTGAGGGTATTTAAATTTTATGGCCTTGGTATTTGATTCATTGGCTGACCGTATATCATCATGTGCCTGTAGACATTTATAACTTGCAAACTATACAGATGATGGTAACTTACGCGGAGATCTACAATACGGTGATTTAATCGGGTTTCCAAAGTTACGCGGCTGAATTGAGTATCCTCCTAAATAAAAATAATGTAATTATAAGAAATCCTAGTGAAAACTCAACAAATTATGATTATAAATAATGTTGCTACTTTGTTTGTTTCCTCTTCGCATCGCGATGCGTCTTCTAAAGAAAATGGAAGACGACCAATAGTTTCGTGAACCACATAAAGCTGAAAATAATAAAAGTTAGTGTTGGCAATGAAAGGTTGCAACTTCACAATGACAGCTAATTAGAAATCTACCAACCTTCTTTATCTGTAATTCCGCATCAGACACTGTTGTACTCTTTATTTCTTCACTTGGTTTGCTTACAACACCTTCAACGATGACAATCGATTCAATCGGAACACTGATCAGTGCCGCATGATTACCATTAATTCAATCCAGGTTATAAAACAAATTGAAAGAAAAAATGTGATATATACTTGGCAGCAAACTTGACAAAACCTTTACTAACAATTTTTTCGTCAACTTGAAGAACCCCTTGAATCGTGGAGTCTTGGTGTCGAAAGACGAAAAACCCAATTTTACCTAAAAACGATCTTAAAACTGTAAGGTAACGTTATATATATATAACTCTTACAATTAAAAGAACACATACCAGTTACGCGCGAAGTATGCACGCGAGCTCTGATACTAACGGTTTCTCCAGCTCGGTTAGCATTTATATCAGCAATCCTGTCTCGTTGAACACCTACGCATAAAAATATGATGTTTTAATATGAAGTAAAATGATTTAGTAAATAATATTGATCTGAATTTTCGAGCACACCTTTTCTCTCTTGTGATTGATTTAAAGGAAGCTTGCCATAATTGTCCGAACCATAGTTCTATTAAATGGTATAATAATATGTCAGTTTCAGTCAATCATAGCATATTCAAGTATGTTTTTTTTTTTACTTCTGCAGCTTCTCGACGACTTCTTTCTTCTGCCTCTTTTTGTTCGCGTTCCTTTCTCTTTCGTTCTTTTTCCTTCTCTTTCTCTAACTTCTTTAATGCCTTTTTGGAAGGCGTGGAGCCTTCTACGTCGTGCTCTTCATTCATTTGCAAAAGCAGGCAGTGACAGATTTACAGCGCAGTTTTTTATGGCTATGCCGCGGTTGGTTTTATCACATTGAGTCATAATGTAATTCGAAAATTTTTCGTGGCTTGTTCCACGTGATAACTTTGAACACTTTCATTTGGTTAGATTCTGGTCACAAAAACTGGATAAATATCATAGTCAGAACTCATTGAATACAATTTATACGAACCAAACTCGATAAGTTGCATTCAATAAATAAATAAATGCATTTGTGAAGGCTAAGCATATATTTGGTCAGAGTTAAATTTGTACTGTAATTGCTACGTAATGAATTTTATGATTCTTTTCATCCAACAATCGAATTCCTTTTCTTCCGTGATACGTTTGGTAAATACTTAAATCAACAATAGCGGAATCAGGGACGATGATTTTCTGCGATTGGCCGGAATTACGTAAAGTCGGCCAGCATTATGATCCGCAAATTCTAGCCGAATTAATATCAGCCGGCATTATGATGATTGTAGACCCTAAATCCAGGCCAAAATTTAAAAAATGATCTGAACCAATTCCGTGATTTTTCCGTCCTGAACGGAACGCGAAAATATCCAATTTCCTGATGATTTAATGTGATTGATTAGGTTAAATAAAATTTGAGCCAATCATTTATGTGATATGGCATGATTATTGAGAATAAAAGTGATTTTTGGATCAGAGATTGTAAGCCCGATAATGAATTGCTTATGAATTTTACTCATAAATTTAGGGATGTTAAAATGTCGATCCGGTCCGATCCGGTCCTGGGACCTAAAGGGATGGTCCTGGACCTAAATTCCAAAATTCGATCCCGGGATCGGATCCTTTGAATTTTAATCCTCAAAATAAGTTCGTCCAATCAAATTTATTTTAAAAAAAAATTTTCGATCCTTTATACGTTGAAAGTTTTTATTATCTAACTTAGCGATCTTAAGAATTAGAAGCCAAAAAAATGGCACAACTGACAAATGAATAGTAGAATAACTAAAAAAGTGAACAAAAAAATTTAAGAAAAAAAAAAAAAAAAAAAAAAAAAAATTTGTCAAATTATATCGAAATAAAATATAAATGACTATAGTATCCTTAATACCTATATTCTTCTATCCTATAGTGTGGCAGTCAGTTCAGTGGCATACAATTTTCCAAAGTTTTTTTTTGATTTTTTGATTTTTTTTGATTTTTTTTAATTTTTTTTTTTTAATTTTTTTTTTTGATTTTACTTGATTTTTTTTATTTGATTTTTTTCTAATTTAGATTCTAAACTTCATCTATTATATCTGATAATTCCATATACCAGCTCTTAAGGCATAAAGATGTATATGTCGTCTCAGGATTAAGACAATTTCAGGTAAGCATAATTGTGTGTTTAGCAATAGAAAAAGCTTGTTCAGATGGCACACTTGTCACTTGCATTGAGAAATAATCTATTGCAATTCGGGATAATATAGGATATTGTACTGAATTTGCTTATCACCATGTAAGTGGTTCTACTTCTTTATTGGGTTCTTTCAAATATTTTACAATTTCATTTGGATCAGTGTAAGTTATGCAGTTGGTAATAAGCCTATGAAAGAAGCTTCGAGCTGATTTATTGATAATTATTTTAGTTGGTAGTGATGATGAGTTATTTTTATCTGGTTTATATTTTTCAAATATTTGATGAAGTGTACTAATTTCTATTTCATAATCTTCTAATTTGTAGGTTTCAAGTTTGGTACGTGGGTTAAGAAGACCTGAAATTATTGATATCCTATTTATAAAATAATATTAATACAAAATTAAGTGATATAAGAAAAGTATCAGTGTTATATAAGTTTAGTCATTACAAGTATAACATACTTATTTAGGTGGTACTAATATAATGCAAGTTTTACCTTAATTGCATTGGCCACTGCAAATTGAGTGATAAGTTCTGGATTTGTATATTTAGCCAAATGTCTAAGAAGATTATAGAATATAATACATAGGTCACCTTGAGTAGGAAATGCTAAAGACAATAACATTACAGTTATGTGATATATAGGCTCAAGAATAATCATTAGATCCAATAAATTATATATATTTATTTAGTAATTATTAGGAATAGTTTAAAATATTTGATAATTACTAACTAATACATTGTTCCATTCTTGCTCTGTAGAGTAATTTAAATTTAATGTCTTAATACTCGCAATAAGAATATCAGTTATAGGGCGAAGCTTATAGAGTTTTTCTAACATAAGATACATGCTATTCCAGCAGGTTTCTACATCAGCTTCAGACATTAAAAATGAAACTTTTTTCATGTCACAAATATTTTTTAGATCACGAAGTAATGAAGATGAGTTTTGAAGTTTTATAGAAAACTCTCATGCTTTGTGAATTTCATTGCTAACTTTCTTAATCCTTTCTTCTATGCTGAGATTCAAGATATGAGCTTCATAACGAAAGTATTGTAAGTTATCATTTTTAAATTCGAAAATGGCTTTTTGTTCTAAAATATTTCTTATAGAGATCATATTAGCTGTATTGTCAATAGTAACGACTAGAAATTTCTCACCTATATTCATTTTTTTTAAAATTTTAATTATTAGGTTAGCTTGATTTATTGTAGTATAGTTTTCATCAAATGGTATGATATCGAGCAGAATTTAACACAATCTCTATGTAGAATCTACAAAGTATGCAGTTATTCCAACGAATGACTGCTTGTTACAAGATGTCCATCCATCCATAGTAATAGAGATTTTTGAAAAAATATTATTCAAAATTACTTAAATTTTATCTCTATTTATTTCATATTTTTTTATTGATCCAATTTGATAATATTTGATAACATGAAGGCCTGTAACATAGATCAAGTTCTTGAAACAAACTTAAGAATTTAATATTTTCAACTAACAAAAAAGATTATTAATCGATGACAATCCATTCTAATAATTTTTTATTTAGGGAATTTATTCTTGGTTTATCATTTGGACCATACAGGTTAAGGCAGTTAAGTTTGTATTGCTTGATTATTGAATAATACATAGGATGAAATTTTTGAAAATGCTGATTAATTGTTATAAGTGCTATCAAATTACTGAATACTTGTTAACATACTTTACACCTATTACCTCCATCAGAGGTTGTTGTTAAGTAGTCTCTAACTGATGATCAGCTATGCTTTGACAGGGATTTATATTGTTGATCTTCTACATCACTCAATAATGAGAACATAGTTTCTGTACTGGATTTGTATTCGATTTTTATAATTTTTTTTTTGTTTAAATTTGTCTGAAACATCTATGTCACCTTTATATAATTAAACGATATTTATCTAAAGATTGAGTTAAGATATGTTTTAACTTTTGATAGCATTCTGTCTTTGTTGCATAAATGATGTACCATCTTTATTATTAAAATTCTAATTGGGAAAAATGTATAACCTTTATTATTAAGATTTTTGCTTTTGCTATCATCACTTTTGTCAAATCGACTTTTATTAAGATTAATTAAACAAATGCAAATATCACATTTTTTTGAAATTAAGTTGGTAAAAAGCATCGTCTTTGTTATTACCATAATGTAACTAAAAATAGATAATTTATTTTGTGCCAATGCTGCCTTTTTTTATTAATATGATTAAAATTTTTTATTTATTTTGAAGGCATGTCAATGCCACCTTTGTTATTAATTAATATAATTATAAAAAAAAAATTTCATTGAATAAAAAATCAATTGTTAATGTCAACTTAAAGGCTTATCGCCATGATTTGAAGATATACAGTCTTTATTATTAAGATTTAACGGGGTAAATATTTAACTTTTTGAAGGCATGCCGCCTTTATTTCAAAGATTCGAATTGATTAAGTTACAACTTAAAAGGAACATTTCATTATTTTCATTATTAAATATTTAACTTTTAAGGTATACTGCCTTTATTTATTAGAGATTTGAGGGCATACGATACAGCCTTTGTTGTGATTTTCGGGAAAGACGACCATGATTAATGATTTATACGAGAAAAAAATTTTCAAGACATACACCTCTTTTTGCATGTTAGCAAGTAATTACTTCATTATTTCATTATTAAATACGCTAACCAAAAATGTCTATCAAGGATCAGATCCCAGGATTTATACAGGGATTTCGATTTGGGACCGAAGTCCTATGAAAAAATAAATTTTTATCATGTGATTTAAGGATCGAATCCTGACCGATCCCTGCAAGGATCGGTTCCCAAAGGACCGATTAACATCCCTACCGAACACCCATCACAGGAGAGATGATTGATTGTTTTATGATTATCAATATTACTCCTTACGCCATGTGATGGGTTGCTCGGTGAAGTCGATGAAATGATACGTATCCGTTCTTAACAGATTCTTTAATCCGTTTTCTGATTTAATAATTTTATCTTTATAAATCACGATCAGAAAATCAAACTACTTCATTTTGGATTATCAACGTACGCATTGTTATCCAGCAATTTTTCAAAAAAAATTTTTTTTGACATGAAAGCAAACGAAAATCTGGTTATCGTATATATATCATATATATTTCTTTTTTTAGTTCACTCTTCTAAGTCAATAATGTACTAATTCACATTTGTCGGAAAACTTAAAAGATTGGAGAAAAAGTTATACTTGTCCCATATAGGCCGGAACATGTACCAAAATATCACGAATGGATGCAATCTTCTTTTCTACAGGGTTTACTGTTATTATTGTTTAACAATTGCAATTTTCATATTTTTATTCTAATATTATTAACACTATCGATAATTTTTTGATTTAATACATAGAAATGACTGCATCGGAACCATTAACAATTGATCAAGAATATGAAATGCAAAAATCATGGCATCTGGATGAAAATAGTATGCATATATCTTTCTTTTTACTGCTATAAATATAAATAGCTCGATGTGATTTTAATTTGAGATATGAAACACATATGAATTTATCGTTATTAAACCTTTACTGTAATAGAATGTACATTTATAGTATTATTAAAGCCAGATGTTGACTGTAAGCTAACAAATCAAGAGATAAAAAAGGCAAGTGAGTTGAAATATTGAAATTCAAATTTTATACATCGATTTTAGTCTCAACCTCCAATACTTGATATCATAATAAAAAACTTAATTTAAATAATAAGAAATGGTCGGTGATGTAAATTTATTCTTTAATGACCACGACAATCCAACTATCGCTGAAATAGAGATAATGATTGCTGGTAATAATATTTTTGTAAATTATTAAAACTTCGTTTAAGTTACATAGTGATCCTGGTTGATAACTAAAGAACTTGACTAAGCCTTCAGTCGATGCTATGTTTTCCAAATCAAGTCGATAAAATTATCAGCTTGGTCGGTCATAAAGTTTTAGATTGACCGGAATCACGATAAGTCATTTAATTTAGCTAATTTTATTGTTTATGGTATATAACAGAAAAAGCGCATTACAGATCAGGTCTTGCCACGAATTCATTATTCCTAATGTTTAATTACGCAATCAATCATCTAAAAATCTCAAAGTTTACCGCAAAAATATCTTTAAAAAACCTTGCATCTATTACATTGTTTACTAAAAAATTTAAATTTATACAAATAGGTTATTCCGAAGTGTTCCAAGAGATTTCTCTGGAATTGTGTATAACTAATCACGTAAAAAATTTTATTAAAGATAATGTAGAAAATGATGGGTATTACGAAACTTTTTATGAAGAAGTATAGTGAATGTGGATTAGAATGTGCATTTAATAAGTTTAATAAAGATTAGAGTAATTTTAGTCATAAGAAAATCATGTTAACACAAAAAAAATTACATTTCTGACGTACACCTAAACGATATTTAGCATATACTATTTTGCCATTATAAACCACCCAAAGTTTGTTGCATTTCACCGATTATTGCCGATCCTGAAATTTTGTTAGCGATTATTGGACGTCTACTGTAGACAACTATTAAGTATATTTGCCAAAAGCATTTAGTATAGAAATCTTATTTTTCAATGTCGCTTCGGGTAAATTTAATTATATATCTTATATTCGTCAGCGATTCATTATATAGACTGTAACCAATCAGATGGTTAATTGTGTTTCAACATACCAAAATTTTGATCGTTCATAAAATTTACCATTACGAAAAAAAATTTTACTGCATAATATATATTTAATTTCGTCAAAATTGCTCGGTGATTTTGCTGAAATCAATCCATTCGTTTCTTCTTTACATGGCAAACCCACGCATCAAAATTTAGGTCAAGATGATCTGCCGTAAAATCAACCTGATACTCTCAAAGTATCTTCATAAAACATATCGAAATGTTGATTTAAATTTATCCCAAAAAAGATTTTTAAAAGTTGAAAATACGGAGGAGCAAATTTCGTCAGCTAAAAGTAAATGATTAAAATCAATTTCTAATTAGTAATTTTCGTTAGCAATTAAATACTATAAATTAATTTTAGAAGTTGAAAAAAATTTTCGTAGATTTTGGAAAGAAGTTTCTGTTTTATCAAACAAAGGTTTGTTTTCAAATTTTTTTTTTTTTACCATTAATGCGCTTGTCAAATTTTAATATCTTCAATTATTTATAGATATGTATCAGATAGCTCTTGATCAACGTCCATTAAAAACACCTGGAGGCTCTCCTTTAGTTATCCCTCGGTCGCATAAATATTTAGCAATGTTGATTGCTGGGGAATGGGAGTCTCAAAAAGCTTTATTGAAACAGCATTCATTACCCTTGGCATGTAAAAGCGCAATTCTCGATCAAATATTAATTGTAAATTTAATAAAAATATAATTTTTTGTGCTGAAATTTCGAATTTTACAGACATCTCTTGTCGCAAGATCAATTGATGCATTTGAAAAAGACCCTTTATCCAGGAAAGAGGCAATAACAAGATTAATTCGATATTTTGATACTGATGCAGTTTGGTAATTAATTAACAATATCATTATCATGTCTTACTGCACTATTGAAATCTACGATAACATAACTTTCAGTTATCAAGAAACTTATCCCGATATTTTAGTTGATCTTCAAAAACAATACTGGGATCCAACTGTGAAATGGACTCAAGAAACTTATGGTGTAGAAATAAAAGTAACTAATGGCATTTTTGGCGCACAGCAACCAACAGAAACTAAAAATAAGTTATGCGCAATAGTCGAAGAATTTGATAGTTTGAAGTTATCCGGTAAAATCACAACTTTTTTTAATGATATATATTATATTTTACGAAAGATAATGTAAAGCTCATGTAAACTAAATCATATACACCTTAAAATAGCTTTTGAGCGTGCTACAATGCTCACAAAGTCATTTCTTCTGGGACTCGGTCTAGTCGAACGACAACTAACAGTGGAATTTGCCTCAAAAGCTGCACAAGTAGAAACTATATCACAAACTATTAGATGGGGAAAACTCGAGGGTGGTAAATGTTAATCTAAAAGGAAATCTCACATTGAAATCATTATGCTAACTCGCTGGGTCTTTTTAGCGCATGATGTTGATAATGAATACATTAAACTCCAACTTGGATCTGTAGCTTGTGCCTTGATAGTCGATCATTAATCAGATTATGGTATTGTTTATGTTACCATGAATTAATTGCTTTTATAATTAAAATCGTATCTGCATTATTTTCGTGCACTGACTAAAGGTATATGCTTTTGTCTAAACTATTAAAAAAAAAAAAAAACTTAAGACACGGTGGCTCTCGATATAACGGAGGCCATGGTTCCAGTCCTTTGTTCCGTTATATCAAAAGCTACTATATATTTATTTAAACATCGAATAAAAATTTTTGAAAATGAACTTTTAATATAAGGCACCCTATATACTCTTGAATATGATTAAAAAATCACTTACCCAAATGCTTAGTGATTGAACTGATAGACCCGCGGGTCATCCGGGTAGACAGGCGGGTCTACCCGGGTATAAAGATTACCGGGTCAGAATAAAAATTTATTAAATCTTTAAATACCAAGTTATATACAAGATCCTCTTTGATGTAAATTAGACCCATATATGAATCACAGGATCTTCGCATATGATCTTAAGTTTACCTTGTTACAATATCGATATACTATACCCGGATTTGTTATAGATCAATTATGATGTATTATAATGGTAATTAATCATAGGCTTTGTCCTTTTGAGAATCGTGTGAATCATAAAAAATCTTGTATACACAGGCATATAAATAAGTTGGGTCATGTGTAACCAAGTTTTGTTCAACATGGCCCATCCTAATGATTCAAATTTCACCTGCATCTCTATTGCAGACTATCTTGGAATTACTGGCTTACTGAGGTATTCGGTCAACCAAATAAAAATTAATTATTTAGTGATCAAGTTTATATTATTTTTTATATATATTTCAATAGTAAAGACTAAATCACATGTCTAGAGCGAATCATTTTACTTCTTTCAATTATTTAAGCATAAATCTATTCTCAAACATGTTTATAACAAAGTTACATTAAAGAACTTTAGTTTCTAGTGTTAAATTCTTACCCGCAATGAAAATATCATTTTTTTTGAATTGTTTGCAATATGAAACAGAAATTTTATAAGAGTCAACTTGAAATTTAAAATATTACTGTTAGAACATTTCGATGTAACTTTGTTATAAATGTGGTTAGAAATATATTTATGCTAAAATAGTTGAACCAAGTAAAGAAAGCAATTGCTCTAGACATCAAAACATGCAATTCAATCTTTATTATTAAAAAATATATATAAAGTAATATATAATCTGATCATTAATTATATAGTTATATAACTAAATATCTTATTAGTTTATGAATAGGTCAGATAACTTGTAAGTAAATTATAGGTAGTTTGGATATTACACATCAAATAATTTACTATTATAGTGTAGCAGCATATATAATTGATATGATTTTTTTTTTTAACTTTTTGGCAGCCTTGCCAAAATTTTTTATTAAAAGAATTGCATATGTAATTATGCAAATATTAGTTTAATTTATAGGTTTGACATTTCCTGGCTACTGTGTTAGTGCCCAGAGGTGACCTGTTACATTAAAGTGAGTTTACACTTACTACTAAAAGGCTATTTAGGCTAGCCTTTGAGGTCATTCCAGTAAGGTCTCTTGTTATTACTAATTAATTTTCTAACTTTATTCTTTCATATATCTTCTATGTTTTTATTTTCTGTTTTCTTTTTTTTCTTTATACTTTTTATTTTTTCTAAGTTTTTGTTTCTTGATTTTAATAAAATTTTGTGCAGTAATTTGCTTATTGTTCTACTGTTTTATTTTTATTTCTTTTTTTTCTTGTACTAATTTCTTGACTTTTCTTTCATTCAAATATTTTATTGCATCTTTTTTTCAAATTTTTTCATAAAACTCATTCTATATGATATCTACTATACACATTAAAAATTTTCTTGTTTTTTGTACTGAAATTAAAATATTTTATATTTTCTTTACTAACTTTTCTTGTAGAAGACCTTTAATAAGTTTTTTTCTTATTTCTATATTTTTTTCTTTTGTTTGGTTCCAGATTACTTCTTTTAGCTATATTTAAGTGATATTCTTTTTTTTCTTTTCTGAAAGTATGCTTCATGCTATTGCTATTATCAATGTTTTTACTTTTACATAATAGTTTTTATAAAAGGAACATGTTATTAAATAGTCTTGGTCTTCTTTTTTTCCTTCTTTATAAACTATACAATTTGCATCTGCATACAGTTTAGTCATCTTATTACTAATTCTTTAAGTATAAACATTTTTTTTTTGTATGCATTTAAAGAGTGTATTTAGTCTTTTATTTCTTATAGTTAAGATATATTTTGTTTCATTCTGATTCTTGATCTTTTTTTATAATAGTATTTAGTAATGTTTGCTTTTCTCTCTTTTTAGTTCTAGTTTTTTAACTATTAATATACAGTTTCAATTTGTATTATTTCTGATATTAAAGATTTTTTTAACAAAGTCTTACATTGGGTTTTCTACTACTTTGTTTTTTTAAAAAAGTGTTATATTAGATCTTAAGACAGGTTCTTCTATAATTTTATTTTTATCTTATATATTTGCTTCTCTTTTTGTTATACTATTTGTTCTATTATTTTACCTATTATTACTATGTCCCTTTACCTTTACTAACTCTAAATCTAATTTCTTTGCTTATATTGTATCTTCAACTAAATTATAATTTTTTCTTTTTATTCTTTTTTTGTTATTATATGTTATGTATTATTATATATACTTACTATAACTGTTGCACTATTTGTATATATTTTAATTTTGCTTTTACTTGGTATTATAATAACTACATAACAGATAACTAGTAGCTTTGCCTTTGTCAAAGAAGCCTATTCTCTAGCTTTGATAACACCTTCATCTATTATATACTCTTTTTTATAGTTCACTTATACCTAACTAGCTTCTATATAGTCTGGATTTTGATTTTTTTTTTTTAATTTTACTAATAATCTGTCTGTGTAAAAGATTAACTCCTCTTACTTAATATTGTTCTTTTTAATATACTTATGTTTTTCTACTAGTAACTTTGTAATACTATTACTAATTTTTTGTTTCTTAATTATTTTAATATCTCTGTTTTCTATACAATTTCTTTTAAATATCTTTTATATTTTCTTTCACAACTTTATCAGTATTGTTGTTTTTATATTTGCAGTCTTTATATTTTTTTAATATTATTTTTTGTCTTTCTAGTTAGTAAATTGCTTTTTAGTATTCAACTTGTACTGTTTTAGACATTCTAATTATAACTCTTCCTACTAGTAATTCTTCTTTCTTATAGAATAGTATATTGTTTATGATTATTCAATTTTTTCATTTTATATTATCTGATAGTTCTTTTACTTGTGCTTTAATTCTTCTTTTGTTTAAAACTACAATTCTAAATTCTGGCTTTACTATTCTGTAACTTAGTTCTTCTATCATTTTCATTTCTAGAATTTTAAACTATTTTGCTAGTCTACCTTTGCATTATTTCTTTTTAAAAAATTTAATTACTGTTATGTAATCATTTTGTTTTTTTCTTTGTCAATTAGCTGATGCATAAACATAATATCTAATTTTTTTAATTTATTTGCAACTATTAATATAAAATCTCTTTTTAAAATTTTATATATTTTTATATTTTTCTTATTAAAATTTAGGCTTTTATAGTTAAAGTTTAAAACTAATTATAGTTCTTTTGCTTTTAGCATTGTTAAACATGTTAAATTATTTTTTTACAGCTTTGTACTTGTTTTAAAAATATTTTTTTGATATATGTTTTTAGATACTCTTATTAAATAAAAACTATCTTCTATTCTTATATTGATTACTGCTTCTTTTAAACTTGCTATATTAGATCAATTATACAAACTAATAATTTGCTTAAGCAATAACTGGTCTCATAATAAGTTAAGATTATTTAAGTTTCTATAATATATTATACTATTTTTTACAAATTATGTGATTTCCAATTTTTTTTTTACCAAACCAATTATTAGTATATATATGTTGATTATTGTATTTATTGATAATCTTGTTGTTTGTAGCATGTAGATTAACTTAGGTATAATATACATGTTGTTAATATAAAATATTTGGCTAATCATTAGTTTTTTTTTTTAGATTTAGATCTCTTACAAATATTCATACTAAGGAGTGTGGTGACCTAGTGAAGTAGATAAGTTGTCAACCTCCAAGTAGCAGGTTTAGAGTTCAAATCCTAGTAATAGTAAAAATTTGTAATTTTTTCTATATTACAGCTAACTGTTTTTTGTAATTAGTTAGAATAAGATATCTGTAATTTGTATCATACCAGCATGACTGAAAGGTTTAGGCACTTGTACAATATTGTATAAGAGAACACAAACTGATACCAGGTGGTGTAAACTCAAGATAAGTTTTTAGGCTGTATAAATCACAAGAACCAGGTAAGAAGATGGAAGCTCAAAGTAGAGAGGTAATCTGAATCTTTGATGATACTACTGTAAAGACTAGATTTATGAAATAGAGCTAGAACTTATAAAACTAGACAAATATGTTAGTCTTTAAGGAGAGATCAGATGAACCAACCAGGCCATTAGAATTTCTAGGTTCTAAAGGAAAAGGGTACATGTTGGCAAATATAAAACCAGATATGTATGGTTTTGACTTATCTTTCTAGACTATCTGGAATAGCAGTTTAGTAAAACTTGAATTAAATACCAAACTAGTAATAATATGTTGTGAAGTCAGTACTAGAGTTGGAGTAAACACTACAAGGGCATAATGGTTTAATGATATGCCTTAACTGCCAGTATTGGTCTCAGCTATAGTGATACTGGGTTGGTTATAAGAATGAAATACAGAAGATTCTAGAAGATTTAGTACAAAATCAAAAATTTCTTATATAAGTAAACTGCTTTAAAAACTTAGTGACTATGGCATATTTTCATCAGCATTAGCTAAGATTATTGATAGGCAGAGGTAGGTAGGTAAATATGAAAACAAAATGGTTAAATAAGGAACTACAAGCAGGTTCCAAATATAGCAACTAGTATAGAATCTTTGGGCAGACTACTTAAATCAGACAATGACTAAAGT